GTGTCCAATGGTCCCCAACGCCATCAGAGCATGCCTTGACTCTGTTCTAGAACAAGAGGCCAGGACTACCCCATAGGCCTCTAGCAAATCATCCCCCTCTCTGTTACTTCTGGAATGTGCCCTACCATGGGGCTCAAGAGTTCATTCACTGCTTCCAAGAACTCAAGGGATCAGGGATCCTCACGCACAAGAACTTCAATTCTGCCTTAGCAGGTCTACAGGAGAAGGAAAGCCTTTTATTCGGGTTTAACTCCACTATGCACGCATCCCTTACCCACAGCGTATGCGTTCCAGCAATGTTTATAAAGGGAGGAAAGGCTCCTAACATTCCTCCACGTGATAGCTGCCCTTTTGGGTTGTTCTCCTCTATGCAAAATGTGAACCCTACTCTAAAACGTCATGTCTTGGCACTTGGGAATCAGTGACATTATAAAGTACTACTCAGAAGAAGAGTTAACAAAGGAAGCATGGGAAACAGAAAGGGCAATTTTAAATAAACAGTATTCTTATTACTATCATAGATAACATTTTCTCATTACATGCTGTGTGTCAGGGACTGTGCAGACATCATCTCCTTTAATTCTCATGAAGTAGGGATCACGAGACCACATTTTACAGAGATGCAACTGAGGTTTTTGGAGACACCATTCAGCACTACACAGTGAACAGGGGACTGAAGTCAGACCCTGAACCAAGCCTGGGTTGGGGGGAGCACAAAGCCTGTATGACCTGCTTCTGTGTAGACCAAGTTTCTGTAGGAAACTCAGGAAGAAATTTGCCCAAACAGTCTGGTTTTTTAGGCAGGAACAGAAAGCCCTAGAAAGGGAAAAGGACTTTCCAAAGGCCCTTCAGTGACTCAGTGTCATGGCTCAAGGCCTTCAACTACAGGCTAAGTCCCCCCCACCACTTTTTTTTCCATGTGGCCTCAGCCTACCCAGAACACAGAGAAAGGGAAAACTCACGAGAGAAGGAGCAAAGGGGATTCGAGGTAGATGGACAAAATGCTCCTCGTACCAGCTTGGTGTGGTGGCCATACTCCCCTCCTCCAGGATCACTTCCAGACCTGCAGTGGGCCTGTCCCACCCCTCCTACTACAGCCTGGCGCCCTTGGAAATGGTGAATGCACTGCAGCCCCTAGGTTACCATGAAACCGTACACAGGACTGTCATTTGGGTTTGGGAAAGGGGCAGAAGAAACTGGAGACTTGGAGGACACCACCTCTAGCCAACCAGCCCTACTATTTTTCTGCAGGGATCAGTAAGAGGAGAAGGGAGTGGAATTGAGAGCTTTGTGTCTGCCCTAACCTTTCCAGGGTTCCCCACTACTCTGGGCCTAAACTCTGTCCCACATCTCCCACAGCTCTGCCTGCCCTCCCCACAGCATGTGGAGTTCCCCACCCCCCAGCCTTGGCCCAGCCACACTGATTCCTATTCAGTTCCTCAAAGGGGGCACCTTCACTCATTGCTGTGGCCTTTACAGAAGCTGAGCCTTCTACCCGGAATGCTTTCCTTCTCCTTTCCCAAACCAAACCCTCCACAGTCAGGTCAGGTACCTGGCCCCCAGGGACTCAGATTAAGTGTCACTTCCTCGGGGAAGGCTTCCCTGACCCCACAAACCCCCTTACTATACACTTACAACCCTCCTAGTTTCCTTGGCACTTTGCATGGTCTAACTCGACTTGTTTGTGTGATTGTTTCAAGAATATTAGTCTTCTCCACAGCTTTTAGACTCCATAAAGATAAACACCAGGCCCATTTGTCATACTGTTCACTCCTCAGGGCATAACAGAGCATGTGGCATAGAGAGGGAACTCAAAATACTTAAGGAATGAACGAATGAGTGACTACTGCTCCCAGCGCCCCAGGTCTGCTGTAAGGAGAACAGTGACATCTAGTGACCACTTTCACACTCTTGGGATTCCCTGATCACAGCACTAACTGGCTTCAGTAAGACCTCATTGGATTTCCAATACATTGAATATTTTGATGATGTGGAGTGAAGTGGCCATGTAATTTAGGCATAGGGAAATCTGATCCCTGGGAAAAGGGGCAGAGGACCATCGCCCTCTCTATTGCCACGTGTATTCTAAGAACACATTGCAGAAGTCCTTGGTTTGGCTCGTGATGTGCCAAAATACAGATGAGGAGAGTGTGGTCCAGAGAGGGAGCCACTGGGGCAATGGGGATATTCATAGCCCCAGTCACTAAGTCTTGAAAAGCCAGGTGTACACAGCTACCTCCCCACTGATACAACACTAGTCAGACCACTGTCCTTATCCACCAGAAGCTACAGAGCAGCCTCCTCCCAGATCTCTCCCATCCTACTTCCACACACCTGTGGTCTGCTCTGACCCTGCAGTCAGACGTGTGGGCACACACGTATACATATTTTGTTCTTTGCTGGCTGGCGGACCTCTGATGCACAGAATTAGATTACTTACAACAGTTGGTTTAAAACTGAAGATCATTGTTGAGCCATGCGTGCATAGGCTTTATTTTTTCTTTTATTCAGTTACTTTTAACACTTTAACGAACTCTCACAAATCCACCACCAAAAACACCGGCTAGGAACTTGACTATTTGCTTGTAATAATGCTCCCTTCTGCAATTATGCTGCCACCCCCAACTCAAGATGACCATCATCCTGAATCCTGAAATGTTCATCCTGTCTTTGCTTCACCTTTTAAAGAGTTTTATTACATCTACATTATAATTTTTATTATATACTAAAAGGTAGCATATTTGTAGGGCATGTGGGTGTGTGGAGTGTGTGTATGCTTTAATTTAAAAAGTAGACAAATGTTATCTATTAGGCTATATGAAATCTATCTTTAGGACTTATCTTCTTCATTTAATATTATGTCCATTCATTTCATACTCACAGGTGTGAGTATAGTTTATTCACTTCGGCTGTTGAGGTATATTCTATAATTTTTTTTTTTTGAGACAGAGTTTTACTATGTCACCCTCAGTAGAGTGCAATGGCATCACAGCTCACAGCAACCTCAAACTCTTAGGCTTAAAGTATTCTCTTGCCTCAGCCTCCCAAGTAGCTGGGACTACAGGCCCCCACCACAATGCCTAGCCATTTTTGTTGCAGTTGTCATTGTGGTTTAGCTAGGCTGGGTTCAAACCCGCCAGCCTCCGTGCATGTGGCTGGCACTGTAACTGCTGAGCTATGGGCACCAAGCCAGGTGTATTCTATCATATCTATAGCCCACAATTCACTTAACTGCTTTTCCATTGATGGTCATTTGGGTTATTTAGAGAGGACTCCTCCTGCCACACAAATCAAATCCCAACAGCCTCCTACTAATCATGTATCTTTACCAACTCAGGAGAGGGTCCAAAGCCCATGATGTGCCTTACGATACCCCAAATGATCAGGTGCCTTCCAGTCCCTCTAGTCTCATCCTGGACCTCTCTTGGTCTTAGTCATAGGGAATATCTTTTGGTCTTTGTACAAAGTATGTTCTCTTCTTCCTTTGGACATTTACGTCATGCTCCCCACACCCTTACTCCCACCTCTCCTCTGTCCTCTATGAAGCTCAAGTGACCATTTAACACCCTCTGACATTTAGCCCAGGAGGATGCTATGGGAGGTACACGTATTCCATAGAGTTCAACTGGACTCAGCCACTGGCCTACAGAATTGTCTACCAAGGTCCAGTGCTGTCTGGGAGCTGCTGCAAAGGGAAGGGTGGGAACCAAATAGGAGAAGCTTATCCACCTTCCTCTTCCTCACTGACGTATGGCATCACTATCCCTGATTTTGTGGATTCTGGTTCCTGAAGAATGCGCTTGAAAAAGTGTTCCATGAAGACAAGTTTGAAAACTAGTGGATCAAATAATTCATGTGGTTCTCTCAAGCCCTGACATTCTGAACTTCAAAGTGAGATGGAGACACTCAAGAGAAAGAGAGATGCTATAATTGCATGGTTAAGCATGTTAAGTTCTGGAGCTGGCCAACGCTGAGCAAATCATTTAACATCGTTGAGGTTTTTTCAGCTGTAAAGTAGGCATGATATTAGGATAAACTATATGGAATTTCATTTTTTTCCACTATAAATAAAAATGGCCCTGGCTCGGTGCCTGTAGCTCAGCAGCTACAATGCCAGCCACATACACCAGAGCTGGTGGGCTCAAATCCAGCCTGGGCCCGCCTAACAACAATGACAACTACAACCAAAAAATAGCCAGGCATTGTGGCGGGTGCCTGTAGTCCCAGCTACTTGGGAGACTGAGGCAAGAGAATCAATTAAGTCCAAGAGTTTGAGGTTGCTGTGAGCTGTGATGCCACAGTACTCTACCAAGGGTGACATAGTAAGACTCTGTCTTAAAAAAAAAAGGCCTTATTTCAGCAATTTCATATGCATCAAACCAATTTTATAAGTAAGTTACAAATCTGGATGGACCAATTAAAGAAGATAATCCAAGTATAGTACTGAGGCACACACTGCTAGGCTTTCATGGAACCCATTCCTTCTCCGAGGCACACAGGTAGAATACATTGCCCTGCCTTCATTGCAGACAAGGTGGGGAGTGGCTGAGTTCTCACCAAGGGAATGGGAGCTGAAATGACACTGACCACTTTCAGGCCTGGCCTCCTTAAACCTTTTACCTCTAACCGTCTTGGCCCATTCTCCTTTCACAGCAACTGTGGAAGCATCAGGTTGATGCAGTGCAAGATGGAACAGGCTGGGTCTCAGAACTACCACTCAGAGCAAAGCCACTTGTCAATCAAAAACATCTATTTGGGACTCTGCACAAACACAAAATAACCTCCATTGTATTGATCCCCTGAGATTTGGGCATGTTTTGGTTACAGCAGCTAGTGTTATTGAGCCTTGTAAGGACTTAGAACATGGTAAGAAATCAATAAATAGTAGTGATCACCATGGCGCTGCTGCTACAGACAGTCCCCATGGACAAGAGTACACAGGGCAGGAGGCAGGGGGTTAGGCAAGTTTGACTTAACATCTGGGCCAGGGTGGGGCTCACCTCCTTTGTGCCATTGTCTTGAATGAGGGTATACAGTGGTACCACACGGTTGATTTCCAGCAACACTGGTGTGGGGCTCAGCTGCTCTTTGCCTGGCCGGCGGCACAGGTGGCAGGTGGATGGACAGCGACCCTTCTCCTCACAGCGGATCTCCACACCTGAGATGAGTTGGTCATCTGACAGCATCTGGGCCGTCAGTAGACCCGAGAGGTAGGTGATGAAGGGCATGGACTTGAGCTCCTTCTTGCTGCCCAGCTCTGTGGTCTCTGGAGGGGCATAAAACAGAAAGAAGGAAAGTTAAATTCAGTATTGCTCAAAAGGTTGGACTCCTAAACTCACAAAGAGCATATGCTGAGGAGCTGGTACCCACTGGAAAGGAAAAAAGATTGTAGAGTCATCCATTCATAATGCCCTGGAAATACCACTGGTTTACAGGTTCAAAGACCACAATGGTGTCTTGTCCTGTCACTTTCATTCTATATCCTCCTGCTTTGTCTGGCCTTCACTTTTCCCATGTTTAAAGTTGATAGGTTGGGCTAGATGATTCTCCGAGAATCATATAAGCTATAAATACTCAAAGATACATTTCCCAACCAAAAATTCCTTTGTATCTACTGTCAACCTATACAAACTATACTCTAAAAATTTTGCTCCAGTCCTGCATTTTCCATGCATCTCAAAATAACAAGAGAACCATAAACTTTGGATAAAGCCAATGTTAATTGGTAAATTAATTAATTAATTTAATTGAGACAGAGTCTCACTCTATTGCCCTGGGTAGAGTGCCATGGCATCATCGTAGCTCACAGCAACCTCAAACTGTTGGGCTCAAGAGATCCTCTTGCCTCAGCCTCCCAAGTAGCTGGTACCACTTGCCCATCACAATGGCTGGCTAGTTTTTCTATTCTAGTGGAGACAGGGTCTTGCTCTTGCTCAGGCTGGTCTTGAACTCATGAGCTCAGGCAATCCACTCACCTCAGTCTCCCAGAGTGCTAGGATTACAGGCGTGAGCCATCAGGCCTGGCCGCCAACTTCATTTTAAATCTCTGTAGTGCTTGATAATAACCTCTGCAACCTTGGGAAAGTCTCTTAAAATCCAGGAGACTATAGTGATTAATTCTGAGAAATGGGGGTAATAACACCAATTGAATCAGTTATGAGTGGTGAGAGAGAAGGAGAAAAAATTCCTGGAAAAGACATTCTTTCCCCCTTTCTGTGTGTAGTCACCTGTTCTCTTGTTCAAACTCCTTTTCCCGACTCTTTATTCTTGTGCACATTGAGATCTGGATTCATGCCTGCTCCATTTTGTGCCATCTCTCTCTCTCTTTATTAAATTTCATTTTACAGGAGCAAGTGTCAGAAAATGCCATCTCTCTTGACCTATGTATGCAACTAGTATTTCCCACCTCTATGTCTTTACTCACCCTGTCTTGTTTGTTCCCTTGGCCTCTTCACATCTTTTCTATCCATTAGTGCTCACTCCAATGTTACCTTCTTCAGGAAGTCCTTCCCCATTGTCCTAGCCCTTCTTCTATGAATAAATATTTCTACATATGCGATCATGAGTTCACTTTCCTTTCCCATTTTTTGCTGACCTCTCCAATGATATTATCAACTCTAAGGGACCAGGGGCCAAGTCTCCTTTTAACACCCACCTTCGGTGCCTAATGTGATGGTAGAGATGTATTTGAGACTCAAAGATGGAGAACTCTGAAATGGCTAGAACTATATTCATGGTCTGGTGAAGAGACTCCCATACTCTACTACGGAGTTCTAAAGACTCAAAGATGGAGAACTCTGAAATGGCTAGAACTATATTCATGGTCTGGTGAAGAGACTCCCATACTCTACTACGGAGTTCTAAAGATTCTAGTGATTCCAGAAAGTACTGCAGCATCTGCTTTCATAGGGCAAGAGGAAAACGAAGCAGACAAGGCTCTAAGCCAGTGGTTCTCAACCTTCCTGATGCCGCGATGTATTTTCATTGTTACAAAGGGATCGAGACCCACACGTTGAGAACTGCTGCTCTAAACCCTCATCCCAGCTACAAATAGAACAGTTTCACTAACGTTTCTCTTGTAGACCAGCCCTCTATCAAAGATTTCATTTTTTTAAGAAAAGGTTTAGGACTATATCAAAAGCTTGAAGAAGCAAAGCTGTCTGTACAACCCAGAGGGTTCCATTTACATCATAGACGACTATAGTGGACTCACAGATGTGCAATGCATAATCTAAATGGCCAAATAAAGTGATTCTGTATTAAGAGACAGAGCCTGATCCAGAGGGAAGCTTCTACCAAACCTGGGGAAGTCAAGGAACCTTCTTCCTCAGTGGAAACAGATGCCCTGGGCTCTGAGGTCTGAGAGAAAAGGGAGAGTTCTCTCCTGCTCTTGCTTTCAGCTTGCAGTGACATGCAGCTGATCTGGAAATGGGCTTGCCAATTAGAAATACAAATAAATGCAGCCTTCATTCATTACTCTCTAGGCCCTTGGGCCTGGGATCTGGGCTCCACCTTTTCTGTCTGGCTGTCAGCAAATGCTTATGAGCATCAGATCAAAGGCTCTGGGGGAGGAAGACAAGGCAAATTCCAGCTAACCAATCCTTCAGAGGGATTAAAGAAGGGTAGTTACTAAGATAAACAAAACAAGGCTGTGAAGAAGGCATCCCAGCAGCTGGGGAGATGGAGACAGTGGAATATAGACACGTCAAAAGAACATGATGACGACTTTTGGAACTGTGGGCCAGAGGGATAGTTTTGGAGAAAGATGACTTCAAACTTGGAAGAGAATAGCCATTGGGGGAGAATGTCAGGAAGGATTCGGAGCTGTGAGGACATTAGGGATTAGTTAGCCCATAGTCTGGCCTAGGTCAACAAACTATGGCCTATTGGCCAAATCCAGTTCCCTTTCTGCTTCTGTAAATAAAGTTTTATTGGAACACAGCCATGGCTATTCATTTTTGTATTGTGTATGGCTACAAAAGCAGAATTGAGTAGCTACAACATGACTTAATGGTACAAAGCCTAAAATATGTACAATCTTTACAGAAAAGTCTGGCAATCCCTGCTCTAGCTCTAGTCTATCAATGGGGAAACTGAGTTTCAGAGAAAGGACCCACACACACTGTCACATAGAAGTATGGCAGTATTATGAATTAGTTAACATAAAAACTATAACCAATCAAACAGACCATCAATATACTTGGATTGTGAACCTCCAAGGAGAAACAATATAGTGGGCCATCTTTCCTCCATGATACCTATATCAACGGCTATTAAAAGAACACACTTTTGAAAATGCTGATCTGGTACAAACTTTCACATTTTAAAAAAGGGAAAAACGGATTCCAAAGAAAGAAAATGACTTTCCAAGGTCACACAGTGTGTTAGTGATCATTTCAGCATGACCCTAGTCTTTTAATAACCAATTCATCACTCAAACCACAATTATCTCATGTTATCTCATATTTCAAAACCCAGATGGCATGCCCCTCATAGCACATTGCCATATGCACATAATTTAATTGGGGAGAAATGGACAGGCCACTAGGAAAGTTTTGAGGCAGACTGTGTTTGATCTATTGTTCCACTTTCAAGAAACACAGTCCACAGTGTCCTTTCTGATTCACCCACACAAGTTTCAGCTTGCTTGGCTGGCCTGTGGGGGTTGCTGGGACGGCTTTGTTTGTCTCCATTTAAGCAGATTTTACATTTTTTAATTTTTATGTATGTCAAAACTTTTGTCATGGCCCGCGTAACCTAGGGCAAAGCGCAAAAATTCCTTTGATCAAACAAACATCCGTCGTCATTTGGTTAAAGATATAACTATCCATTTCACAACAAAATCATCTATAGATCTTTGCTGATCTGCTTCTGTTTGATAAATCTTTAACTTTTGAAATTTATCATTTCCATCAGTGGGGTTAAAAGCCCACAGTCCAGCTAACTATCATAGCAGTATAGAATTTATAGCTGAACTAAAAAGATGGTTTTACAAAAGGAGAATTATCATCTGATCCAATCTTATCAGTTAACCAGTGAGGAACCTGTAACCAAAATTGGAAAAAGGATCTACATCTAGGTCCCATGCACCTGTATTAACAATGATCTTCTTCTTGAGGATTGCATCACACGTAAGTGATGATCTATACGAGAGTTACAGCGGGGAACATCATTAGATTTATCATTAATTATTCCTGCGTAGACATCGCAATTGTGAAAGCTAATTGCTGATCCAACCCCACTCTGTGGCCAAAGTCATCTGTTCAAAAAGCAAAACCTATATTCTTCTGCTTAAAATTCTTCTTCCACCCTTCACCACACTTAAGATAAAGACCAACATCCTTAAGATGGTGTATAAACAATATGACATTCAGACAACCTGCAACTTCCCCAGCCTGATCTCTTTTTCTTTCTTT